AGCTCCCGTAACATTTTGTAAATATGTGTGCAGAGTACCCTGAATAAAAGCTTATATTTTGATTGTTATCCTGTGATAAAATTCTTTCAGTCAAGTTTTCAGGAAGTGTTGAAGAATTTAATTTCAGATCACTCTGCAGATTATTTCCATACCTGGGCTATGTGTGTCTATTTTGGCCCTGCTATTGCAATAAAAACTTTAATATAGACTTACACTACTATATATATATATTAATATATATATTATTATAAATATATTATATATATATATATATATATATATACTGCACTCCACGACAATGAACCAGCTGCTAGTTAACGAGAGACACCCGGAATGGCTAACCGAAGGTCGGACGGTCCTGATCCCCAAGGACCCCAAGAAGGGACCGGTCCCATCCAACTACCGACCAATAACCTGCCTCAGTACTACATGGAAGCTCCTGTCAGGCATCATATCGGCTAAGATGAACAGGCACATGGGTCAATACATGAGTGGGGCACAGAAAGGGATTGGCAAGAATACCAGAGGCGCAAAACACCAGCTACTGGTAGACAGAACAGTCAGCCGAGACTGCAAGACCAGACTGACCAACCTGTGCACTGCCTGGATTGATTACAAGAAGGCCTATGACTCAATGCCCCACAGCTGGATACTGGAATGCCTAGAATTGTACAAGATCAATGGGACCCTAAGAGCCTTCATCAGGAACTCAATGGGGATGTGGCGTACAACACTAGAGGCCAACTCCAAGCCCATAGCACAAGTCACCATCAAGTGCGGGATCTACCAAGGAGATGCTCTGTCCCCACTGCTGTTCTGCATAGGCCTGAACCCCCTCAGTGAGATCATTAACAAGACTGGCTACGGATACCGACTACGGAACGGAGCAGTTGTCAGCCACCTCCTGTACATGGATGACATCAAGCTGTATGCCAAGAGTGAACGAGACATCGATTCACTGATCCACACTACCAGGCTATACAGCAATGACATTGGAATGTCGTTCGGACTGGAGAAGTGTAGTCGGATGGTAACAAAGAGAGGGAAGGTAGTCAGAACTGAGGGGATTGAACTACCAGAAGGCAACATTGCAGACATAGAGGACAGTTACAAGTACCTGGGGATCCCGCAGGCGAATGGGAACCATGAAGAGGCCGCTAGAAAAGCTGCAACCACCAAGTACCTGCAGAGGGTCAGGCAAGTCCTGAGGAGTCAGCTGAATGGTAAGAACAAGATCCGGGCCATCAACACGTACGCCCTGCCCGTGATCAGGTACCCTGCTGGGGTAATAGGCTGGCCAAAGGAGGAGATAGAAGCCACTGACATAAAGACAAGAAAGCTCCTTACCATGCATGGAGGGTTTCACCCCAAGTCCAGCACCCTGAGGCTGTACGCTAAGCGGAAGGAAGGGGGCCGGGGACTGGTGAGTGTCAGCACCACAGTCCAGGATGAGACAACGAACATCCAAGAATACATTGGGAAGATGGCCCCAACTGACCGAGTGCTCAGTGAATACCTCAGGCAGCAGAAACCCAAGAAAGAGGAGGGAGACGAGGAACCATCATGGAAGGACAGGCCCCTGCACGGTATGTACCACCGGCAGATAGAGGAGGTGGCTGATATCCAGAAATCCTACCAGTGGCTGGACAAAGCTGGACTGAAAGACAGCACAGAGGCACTAATCATGGCAGCACAAGAACAAGCTCTGAGTACAAGATCCATAGAGGCTGGGGTCTATCACACCAGGCAAGACCCCAGGTGCAGGCTGTGTAAAGATGCCCCAGAGACAATCCAGCACATAACAGCAGGGTGCAAGATGCTAGCAGGCAAGGCATACATGGAACGCCATAACCAAGTGGCCGGCATAGTGTACAGGAACATCTGTGCCGAGTATAACCTGGAAGTCCCGAGGTCAAAATGGGAGATGCCCCCAAGGGTGGTGGAGAATGACCGAGCTAAGATCCTGTGGGACTTCCAGATACAGACGGACAAAATGGTGGTGGCTAACCAACCGGACATAGTGGTGGTAGACAAACAGAAGAAGACGGCCGTAGTGATCGATGTAGCGGTTCCGAATGACAGCAAATCAGGAAGAAGGAACACGAGAAGCTGGAGAAATACCAAGGGCTCAGAGAAGAGCTCGAGAGGATGTGGAGGGTGAAGGTAACAGTGGTCCCCGTGGTAATCGGAGCACTAGGTGCGGTGACTCCCAAGCTAGGCGAGTGGCTCCAGCAGATCCCGGGAATCAACATCGGAGATCTCTGTCCAGAAGAGCGCAGTCCTGGGAACAGCTAAGATACTGCGCAGGACCCTCAAGCTCCCAGGCCTCTGGTAGAGGACTCGAGCTTGAAGGATAAACCGCCCGCAGGGGCGTGCTGGGTGTTTTTTTTTTTTTTATATATACATATAGATCAACACACTGTTTTATTCTTGCAGTGTATTTTCTTTATTGATAAAGACAGTATGTTATACTGTGCTGACACTGATTTAACCGATGTGACTTCTGCTCAATCAATTCATTGTGACACAGCTCTCACATATAGAATTTATATAAGAAGGTTATGTCAGCATCTCTCTTTTTTTTTAAGGGTCATAATTTAAATATTTAATAAGACATAAAGAAATTAGAGTATGACATGTCCAGGCTGTCAAGCAATCTGATTTAGATTTCTTGCTACATTTTCTTATTTGCCGTCCTAAATCGCCACGCTATAGAAACAAGAAATTCATTATCTCGATTCAAAAACCCACAGCTGTCCGTGTCTTTGTGTCTAGCTGCTTCTTGCATCACACGTATTGTCCCTAGATAATTTTCTTTCTTCTGTCCTTGCAGCCTGTTAAACAAAAAGACCCTGAAAGTTTTTTTTCTTTTTGTTTTTTTGTAGAGGAGATTAATTTTTACAATCTCTCCTCCAGGATTTTGACAGATTTGCATTTTTGTTGTTGTAGAACTGACAGATGGGTTTTATTTAGTGGAAAAAAAATGGGCCTTCAGGCATGAGGTTCTCCTTTCACTGCATGCCATGTGCAGCTTTAACAAGGTTTTGCAAAATCTGCATACACTTACCAATTACCACATGCACTGTGGGTGTAACTGACTTTGTGAGATAAAAAAAAAACAAAAACAAAACAAAAATAGCAAATGCTGTGCGTGGACAGTGCACAGCTCTGCATAGCATAGCTGTTTATGTTCACATTTTTCTCCACAAATAATTTAGCCTTATAAACTTACCAGCTGTCATGTGGCAGCTGTCAGAAAGTTAATATTAATGTAATGAATATGGACGCAAACACAGTATAATCCAGCCCTTGAACATGTACTACTTGATTTCAAGTTTTCATTGTGATGTGTCATACTGTAGTATCATAAATATTAGATTGAAAAAAGCAAAACACAAGTACTGTTTAGGGAACAAAGGAAAACACTGCCTCTAATGCATCCTGCTGAATGTGTATAAATATGACCTCACCATAGTCTACTTAATATTTTCCTGACATATTAATTTGTAGGTCTGCGGGGTTATAATAAAATACACCTCAGAGAAAACAGACAACAGGTATAACTCGATTAATGAAGCTTCTGTTTAAGTCTAAACACTTATCCTTCAACTCTGTGGGGATTGATGGGCCTTCTCGCTTTGTTCCAGGTCCTTGGGCTTTGAAAACGATGTGAATACAAGCTGTCTGGATTGATGGGTGGCTGTTGGGGCTTTGTGTTCCTCTCTTATCAGCTGAGATGTAATTGATTTATGGAGCGCTGGTTTGAATCAAAACAGGGATGTGAGTGCGCTGATTTTGCCACAAAAACAGGACCACGGAGAGCAGGTTGCTCTGTTTGACAGGAACAAAAGCACACACAATAATCCACCTGCTGCTGCCCTGTACTGACATACAGAGGATTCTTCTTGCTTAACTTAAAAAAAGGTCTAAATAAGGATAATTTATGTTGTGATGCTGTGACACCGTTATTAACGAAACCGGCTTCATTACTGTTGACTTATTAGTGTCAACCTCACTGATAGTCCAAGTCTGTGCCACTGGTACAAGTAACCATAGCAACCAGCATCACCTACAGAAAAATTTCTAGAAGCGTCTACAATAGCAGTGCTTTTTTTTTCTCTTTAGCCACTGCACATGAACGCAAGAGGTCTCTCACATAAGTAACGCTATAAGGAAACTGATTTAAAAAAAGGAATTAAGATTGTATTTCTCAGAATTTTAACTTCCGTTTGTATTTTTGACCACATTGTAATTTGGGATAAACTATATATATGTATATATTTACTTTATTCCTTCAGTCTTATTTAATTTTTACTGTTAACTTGATTCCTTAATTTTTTTGTTGTTGATATCTTTATTACTTCATTTTTCTCGCTATTTTATTTATTACTGATCTATTTTATAGAACAAATCCAATACGCCAGATTTCTAAACACTGTCTTACCTGATATTTTATTTGTTTCCATGTCTTTAGCTCATGAGGACCTTTACATGTTTATTTTTTTATTATTTAAGGCTTAAATTAGGCTTTCATTTTAATGTTAGTACAGTTGAATGGATTTTAATTAACTTTCGTTTAACCTGGGGATTACTTACTTCACGACCAGATGTTAGAACTTTGAGCTTTTTTTTTTTTTTTTTTTTTACTTTTTTAATGGTTATGTTGTTCCCCAGATTTGGTGTCTGCAAAGATTTTCAGTCATATTAAACGCACCTGAACCTTTTCCCTGCTTCACAGCCTCTTGAGCCTCCACTTAGTATGTGCAGTCACAGTGCCAGGTCAAATGTGAAATCCCACTGGTTGCTGTCCATGGTGCTGAGCAAACCTCTTCATATTAAATAGGCATAGAAATTGCTGCACATAACATAACTGAACATCCGCGAAAAATATTACTTTGTATTTTGTGCTATGTCTTATATATCTATGTTATATAGATATACACAAACATTTTTCCTTCTTCTTCTTCTTCTTCTTCTTTATTGGTGATTGTTTTGCGCATGCGAAAAGGCAAGCTGAGGCCACTAAAACAGATAACGGCGCAGAGAGCCGATAGCTCTCGGTACGCACAGGAAAATATGCGCGTTTTAAAAACAAAGAAGACGTCTGAACCATAACACAGTCAAGAGTTAAAGGCGTTATTTTCCCACCCGCCCCTCGTGAAATTACATTTCACGCAACAGGCTGCAAAACCAATGTGGAGTCTAAGCTGAAGAACAGTACCACCTGTAACACCGTGCCCGTGCTTCCGACTTTCGTGCCGATGCCGAGAATGAAGAAGCAAAACGTCCGGACCTTGTCGCTCATCCTCTGCATGTTCTCCTACTTGCTGGTGGGCGCTGCGGTGTTTGACGCGCTGGAATCTGAGTCGGAGAGCTCCCGTCGGCGCATCTTGGAGCAGAAGCGCAACGAAATGAAGAAGAAGTACCGCTTCTCCGAGGACGACTACCGCGAAATCGAGAGAGTAGTGCTGCAAGCTGAGCCCCATCGCGCCGGGAGACAGTGGAAATTTGCTGGCTCTTTTTACTTTGCCATAACAGTAATCACTACCATTGGTAAGTCAATGTAAGGCTTCTTCTGCTTTTTTATTTTATGTTTTTGGAAATGACGGGTGATGTGTCACTTTGCTTGCTTCGTAATTCACAGCACAACATTATTTTTTCTGCAAGAATGCAATATTTGAGGCTTGGTTTTAATGACGTGTTGATTAAAAATAGACAGTTGCTCCATGTTTTACCAACTAAGCGTTGCTTCATGATGCGTCACAGTGTCATTACATTTTCCATCTCTTTGCATTAAGGTTATGGACATGCAGCCCCTGGAACAGATGCTGGAAAGATCTTCTGCATGTTCTATGCTGTACTCGGCATTCCTCTCACTTTGGTTATGTTCCAGAGCCTGGGAGAGAGGATGAACACATTTGTCCGCTATCTCTTACATAAGCTGAAACAATGCCTGGGCTTTCGACGCACTGAGGTGTCCATGGAGAACATGGTCCTGGTGGGCTTTTTGTCCTGCATCGGAACACTGTGTGTGGGCGCCGCAGCCTTTTCCCACTTTGAGGGATGGAGCTTCTTCCATGCTTACTACTACTGCTTCATCACACTCACCACAATTGGCTTTGGGGACTTTGTGGCTTTGCAGAAAAAAGAGGACCTCCAGGAGAAAACGCCCTATGTCGCTTTCAGCTTTATGTACATTCTGGTAGGATTAACTGTTATCGGGGCATTTCTTAATTTAGTGGTGCTCCGTTTTCTCACCATGAACACTGAGGATGAGCGACGGGATGCACAAGAAAGGGCTTCAATGAAGAGAGACAGAGGCCTTTTGGATGGGACCCTGGGCCTTGGTGTTTTAGGGGAACAAAGCAGAGATAGCCACAGTGAGAGGAACAGGAGCAACATGGTGCACAGCCATAGCACACTTTTCCTCCCGATGGAGGAAGGAACCAGTCGCACCAACCTCATCTCTTCTCCGGTGGATCAGGAAAGACGAAAAAGCCCCTGCAGGCACAGGTTGCATTTCCAGATAAAGGCAGGCAGAAGCAGACAGGAGTCGAGCCTTAGCTCCCTCTGTTCCTGCATGTGCTACCGTTTAGAGATTTGCGATAGCCCTCTTATGTCCCACAGTGAACATCGTGGCTGCCACGTTAATTCTGTTTATTACAACTCAGTTTCCTACAGGATTCAGGGCTGTTCACCAAGTTCCAGGGACAACACTGGACTAACTTCGCCAGGAAGCAGGATCTCACTTGGCCATAGTTTCCGGGAGTTCCCTCATTTACGAAGAAAGTCAGTATAAGGAGCATTATTGTGTTTGCACAAACTGTAAACAGTATTTTCAGAGACACTGTATTTTGTGTTACTTCTCCTTTGTGCATGAAGACAATAGTTCTGTTTAGTAAATAAGTTGTCTGTTGTGGCTATTGAAAATAATTTTATTTCTAAAGCGAGAAGGATTTTTTTCTTTTTTTCTTTACTTTCACTGTTTTTTTTTCTGTTGGTGATTCTGCTGTTTTGCATGCATGTTAGGCACAGTGCAGTGCATGCTAAAGAGAATGTATAGCACAAAAGGTGACTGCACGAGTGCCATGTAAAGATGTAAAAAGTCAGCCTTTTTAACCTACACTTTTAATCAAAAGTATTTTGGCTATGAGGGTTATGACTGTATAACTGTTTGGTGAAGATATGTGAACAATCCTCAGTGGAATTTGCTCCTGGTTTGGAGAGAATTTAATTTTTCGTGCCATAGATGGAAGATGTCATAAAAAAATAAAATAAAATTCCCCACTTGCCCCTGTGGGCGGCCAATCCTTCAAGCTCGGGTCCTCTACCAGAGGCCTGGGAGCTTGAGGGTCCTGCGCAGTATCTTAGCTGTTCCCAGGACTGCGCTCTTCTGGACAGAGATCTCCGATGTTTTCCCGGGATCTGCTGGAGCCACTCGCCTAGCTTGGGAGTCACCGCACCTAGTGCTCCGATTACCACGGGGACCACCGTCACCTTCACCCTCCACATCCTCTCGAGCTCTTCTCTGAGCCCTTGGTATTTCTCCAGCTTCTCGTGTTCCTTCTTCCTGATGTTGCTGTCATTCGGAACCGCTACATCGATCACTACGGCCGTCTTCTTCTGTTTGTCTCCACCACTATGTCCGGTTGGTTAGCCACCACCATTTTGTCCGTCTGTATCTGGAAGTCCCACAGGATCTTAGCTCGGTCATTCTCCACCACCCTTGGGGGCATCTCCCATTTTGACCTCGGGACTTCCAGGTTATACTCGGCACAGATGTTCCTGTACACTATGCCGGCCACTTGGTAGGCTCCTGTAGTTTGTAGATTTGCACCTGCTTTATCATGATACATAATATACATATATATATATATATATATATATATAATATATATATATATATATATATATAATATATATATATATATATAGTATATATAACAGATATATATATATGTATGTATGTATGTATGTATGTATGTATGGTATGTATGTATGCATATTTAAAAAAGCCTTAAGGAACTTTAACCAAGCACATGACAAATGTGGCTTTTTGCTCATCGAGCATTGCAGGTGTGAAGTGGGATGCACTGCTGCACTCTGATATAAAGAAACTACGCTTGTTAGAGGACTAATCTGAATGTAGCACACAACAGAAACGTATATGTAGCAGGTTTTTAGTGAAACTGGAAAACTTTTTTTTTTAGCAAAGGAAGTGCTGTTTCTTTGTAGACTTGATTTGTATTCAATGTGAATGTTTGTTTTATTGTTTTATTAAACCAAAGAAAAGGGCCATTAAATGAGTGGCTTTTTTTTCTTTACTTTTTTCAAGCTTATTGTTCATCGAACAAAATCGCTCCTCTTTGTATGCAGTTATTTTCCTTCACTTGTCTTCCACTGATCAGTTTTTAATCTACTGGAACATCTCAATATGTGGTAAGAAGAAAAGAAAAAAATAAGCAGGAAAGAAGCAGTTTTCTCTTTGTTGACTTCCCTTTATCTGCTGGAACATATCTGAGCAAAGGCATATAAAAAGGTGCCATAATGAAGTTTATAATCCTACTTACTGTGGTGATACTTCATCATTTGTTAAGATGGTATAGGGTTTACATAAAGAAAAAAACAACCTAGTCCATTGGCTTATTTATTTTAGGTCAGTAGACAAGAATAAAATTAGACAAATTTATTTGAAATATCAAGATTTTTTAGTTCTCTGTGTTGTGTCAGCTTCAATATATAAAGTGCATGCTTTACACTCAATTACAGCTGTTAAAGCACTGGTAACATAAATATTTTTGTTAATCTGTATCCAGTTTAACTGTACCTTCACCATTTGTTTGTTCTGCAACTCATGAAACGGTTGCCCAGTTGTGTTAAAAATTTGAAGGTATTTCACAATATTATCCATCCATCTAAACTACCATAGGGTGTGAGGCATTGTTCACTCTGGACAGGTCAGCTGTCTGTCCAAGGTGGATAAACTACCAACTGCAGGCTGCTGACAAATGGAAATCTATGGCCAATTTACCCAACATGAGGCAACAGTGCAAATCAACAGCATACTGTGGTGGAATTTAATAAAAGTAAGCCTATATTTATGCTTTGTAACTTACTTGATCCAGTTACTGGAATTACACTGAGCCACTGAAATTCTGATTCAGTGAATGCACTTTACACATTGTTTACTTTGTGTACTGCATAGATTTTACATTACATTACATTAAGAAAATTAAGATGTATTATTAAACTGCACCATTCTGCTGTTAGATAATAAACTACCTAATAAATAGAAATATATTAAAAAAACAAATAAAACAAAAATAGTTTCTGAATGCTCTCTTCATCATGTCACCATGTGTGACACACACACGCACACATACACTTATATATACACTGTAAAAAAGTTTAAATTACATACATATTATATTAAAACACCACCCCCAAAAGCAAGTTAATAACTACCTGTGGACTTAAATACATATGAACTATTCATATGTAGTTCCCTTGAGACTATTGCATTAAATCCAGCCCAGGAGTCCTTTTATGTTATTTATACTTCTAACTCTCCTGAGTACCCCTGTCTATTTGAGATATGGAGTAAATCAAAAGTGGCAATAAACAACAAAAATAATAAATAAAACTACATTCTCGAGTGGAGCACCCAATATTTCAAGCCATTAAACACTACGTCTTCTCCACTGTCATGAGATAAAATCACATTACGTGTCGTAATGTCTGCCCATTGCCTCCATTTGCTATTTTTAAAACCTGTTTTTGGTTTGGAATGGGAAACCAGAAGTCATAAAGTCTTTACATAAGTGTCCCTGAGCTTACATTTCAAGCCATCTGTTGGTCTGCTGGAACAGAAAGCTACTTTACATATAAATGTAAAACTGATTGGGCAATAGAATCTGAAATGGTGATTGGTTCTGAAATGCCATCTGCTCCTGCTGCTTGTGAATGCACACAATGGCATTTACGCTCTTTCTTATATTGTCACATCACTAAATCTCATCCTTTCTTCGCTGAGTACAACAAGCCCAATCACACAATTTGTTTGTCTCATACTTTAGAATATGAAGTATTTTGATCTTTCTGTATGGCAGAGAAAACGGAGGGGAAATCTGCTACAATACCTTTGACAAGGGGGCCCTCTAAAGGTGGTAACAGTTTTTGGAGCTATTTGAAGTAAGTAAAGTCATAAAAAACCTTTAGCCACTGGGGGGCAGTGTATGTCTTTTAAAAGGCAGTGAACCCCCTGATGTTTTCATCTGTTAAAGTGTAGCTTGAGTAAACTCAGATATACTGAACAGGATCATGCACTCCAACCCCCCCCCCCCCCCCCCCCCCCCCCCCCCCTCATGACACGTACAGACATGTCATTATTTTGTCATTTTTATGAAAATTGTGTTTTTATCTGATATCTATAGGGTTGAACTATATAAATCAAGAGTCTAGCAATCTAAAAACTTAAGTGTGTTTGGGTTTGCACTATCAAAGACATTAAAAAAATGCAGCACAAGCAGCTTGTTAGTCAGTACACCGACATCAGGAATCACACCTCCTACTGTTACCCCCTAGAGCTCGACAATCTGTAAAGCAAATGACACGGTCTATAATCTGACCCCCAATTCGGTTGAGGAAAAAATCATGGAAACCCAAAGGATTCCCAGGAGAGTTCCAGTAGGAAAGAATCGGAAGGAATCTTTGGAAGAAAATGGGGAAAGAGGATTGATCCTTCAGACATGCAGCAGAGGTCACACGAGCAGAATTTATTGATAGTATACACGGAATACAAGATGACAATATTATTGATGAATTGTGAAACGATGGAAAATATGGATCCAGGAGGACAAACGACTTCCAGCTCTTGCTTAACAGGTATGCCAGGTACGGGTATACCTGATCCAAAAAGGATATAAAAAAAGAATGTACAGAAATATACTTTTCACACTTATGGGAAAAGAAAAGATACACCCTGAGGAACTGAGAGCTGAGAGACAAACAAAGGAGAGGCAAAGATGTGAGTTTTATTACTTTGTATCGAAACAATGATCAAAAATAATAACCTGCTACATGTCAGTATTTTAAAAGGTTACATTATTTCCTTTTGAATTCTATTCAGTTTTATTAATACAGCGCCAAATCACAACAGCAGTTGCCTCAGCGGGCTTTATATTGTAAAGTAAAGACCTTACAATAACACAGAAAAAACCCCTGACGATCAAACAACTTCCTTTGAACAAGCACTTGGCAACAGTGGGAAGGAAAACTTCTCTTTTAACAGGAAGAAACCTAGGGCAGCAGCAGGCTCAGGAAGGGGCAGCCATCTGCCATGACCGGTTGGGGGTGAGGAAAGGGGTAGAGGATTAAAAAACATACTGTGGTAGCTAGCCAGAGATTAAAAATAACTAGTGATTAAATGCAGAGTGGTGTATGAACACATGGTGAAAGAGGTGAGTGAAGAAGAAACAGTCAGGGCATCATGGGAGGGCTCAAGCCATCTAGGCCTACTGCAGCAACTAAGAGTGAATACAGGGTCGCCTGATCCAGTCCCAACTATAAGCTTTACCAAAAATGAAGGTTTTAAAAAGCAGAGAGGATGTCTCATCCCCAAATCCATACTGGGAGCTGGTTCTGGGAGAAGGGCCTGAAAGCTGAAGGTTCTTCCATTGTCACCATTACGACACGTAGAAGTAGCTCTTCTTTTTACTATCGAGTCTCAGTTACTTCACTGAACATGTATGTAACATATGTGTATGTTACAGATAAGGTATTCTAAACAAATACCCAATGAAAAAATGTAATGAAACTGAGGATATGATTGCTCCATGCATGCCTGCGTTCAATAGCAGTGCCTGTAGTGTTTCTTACCATGTGGCGATTTATCTCTGCTAATACTGACAGTGATAACGAAACTCAGAACAATGTTATATATTGGTTTTATTGATACTTTTGACAAGATAAATTAAACCCATTTTCAGCCACAGGAATATTGCCTCAAATGTCATCTCACATGCCCCCAGGAACAGACACTCCCCCACATCCCTTTAACTGTCAAGTGTGAGTGTTACACAGAGACGTATAGAAATGTACAGATGTAAGGTGATATTGCTGAACATGCTGCTGTACTGTACACATGTATATACTTTCTCTTTGACTGGCCACGTTGCCATAATTACATTTGATTATCAATATCTGTCGGATCAACATCTGTAGCTATCGTTTCTAATCCACTGCACAGTTCTTACTGAATCCATCGATTTAAATATCAATTTTCCAGGAACCAGTTATCAAATGAACTGCATGAGTAGTACAAAGAAAGTATTGGCTTTAAACCAGGACATGATTAATTTTACGATGATGGAACAAAGCCAAGATGGCCAAACT